CTATTTTTTGCATCTGTTTTCTTAAAACTGTTGTAGAGACAGGGTCATTGCTCAGAATGTTACCAGCCGAATCTCAAATACCTGGGTTAACGGATCCGCCCACCTCGGGACCTTCCAAAAGTGTCCCCGGATTATAGGGCATGAGCCACCATGTGCCGGCTTTTTACACACTGTTCTTAGTAAATTTCACGTCTGCCTATACTCAGGGGTGGACGTCCTAATCATGTGGGGCGTGACAGTCAATGCTACAGTTTCTTTGGTACACTTTCCCTCTCCTAGATGCCCTATTTTCATACCTTCCTTCTATTCATACGCTCAATATATTCCGCCCCGTGACGACCTTGCTTTCTATTCCACTGAGGAAACAGGAGCCACAAGACACCTCTCCCACGAACGCTCACACCATGCACTACCACCCACTTACCTGCAACTTGGCCCACGGTTCGTATGTTTCCCTGCGCTCTGAAAACCAGCAAAGGCCAGTATCTCATGGCTACAATCCTATTCACTTTTCGCAACCCAAAGATTACTATCCACTAAACTCTCTTCTCCTTTCAATATATCATTTTTTTCTACTCAGTCCTGTTTCCAGCATATTAAATTACAACTCCGAATTTTACCACAAAAATCCTCTCAGGCCATACCCTCTCCATTGAGTATTCTGCTTGAGGCAAAGATTTCTCTGAAGAGCATGTTCTATCCTCGACCGGCGCAGGGTGAACTATGCCTGTAATCCCAGCACTTTGGGAGGCCCGAGGGTGGCGTGGGTGGATCATGAGGTCAGGAGATTGAGGACATCCTGGCTACACAGGGTGAAATCCTACATCTCTACTAAAAATACAAAAAATTAGCAAGCAGCGGTAGCGGGCGCCTGTAGTACCAGACTACTCGGGAGGCTGAGGCAGCGAGAATGCGCGAACCCGGAGGCAGAGCTTGCAGTGCGCTGAGATTGCGCCACTGCATCCAGCCTGCGGCAGACAGAGCGGAGAACTCCATCTCAAAAAAAAAAAAAAAAAAAAAAAAAGAGTTGTTGTTGCTACTCATTCGCCCATAGGTTCCTTTCCCTCCAAATTTTCTTCCCTACAATCAGGCACTTCCCTACCAATCTACCAAAAACTATTTTGATAAGGTAAATCGCTTGGATGCTTGTGCTTGCAGGGTATTATCAGAACATCTTGAGCTAAGCACAGTTGGTTCACCATCTGTAATCCCAGACTGTTTGTTAGGCCAAGGTGGGAAGATCGCTTGAGCCCAGGAGTAGAGACCAGCTCAGGTAGAGTCTCGATCTCTTATAAAAAAAACAAAACCAAAACCAAAAAACAAAAAAAAAAACTAAAAATTAGCTGAGTGTGGTTGAAATCCCTGTGGTCTCAGCTTACTCAGGGAGGTCTGAGGCAGGAGAAATCACTTGAGCCCAACGAGATCAAGAGCTGCAGTGAGCTGTGTTCACACCACTGCACTCCCAGGCCTAGGGAAACACAGCGGAGACCTCTCCGTGGAGTAAGCACAGCGCAGAGTACCAGAGTTTATGCAGATTCGTGGTGAAGCTGTTGATCTTCTCTTATAATCTGGCACAGACTATTGTGGGTATTTCTGGGCAGGGCAGTTCCTTTGCCTGTTTCAGGAGAGGTTGTACTTGTATTTGCGGGATTATACGTCAAGTTCTTGGTTTGGTCTCATTTTAGCGGTTTGTTCTGGGGGCTGCGGAATGTCTCACCCTTACATGGGTGCGGAAAGGTAGACAGTGGGATGAAGTTGCCAGGGGCAGTGGCTCACGCCCTGTAATCCATCACTTTTGGTAGAGGGCCAGGTGGGCAAATCACCCAGGTCAAGAGTGTCCTAGGACCCAGCCTGGCCAACATGGGTGTAACCCAGTCTCTACGCTGTGAAAAGTACAAAAAATTAGCTGGGGCGTTAGTGGCAGGCACCTGTAATCCAGGCTACTCAGGAGGCTGAGGCAGGGAGAACTGCTTGAAACCCAGGATGCGGAGGTTACAGTGAACCAAGAAGTCACACCACTGCACTCTAACCCCAGTCAACAGAGTGAGACTCTGTCTCACAAAAATGTTCATTGACAGATGAATGGATAAAGAAAATGTGGTACATATACACAATGGAATACTATTCAGCCATAAAAAAGAATGAGATCCTGTCATTTGCAACAACATGGATGGAACTGGAGGACATTGTGTTAAGTGAAATAAGCCAGGCACAGAAAGACAAACTTGGCATGTTGGTACTTACTTGTGAGAGCTAAAAATTAAAGCAGTTGAACTCATGGAGAGTAGAACGATGGTTACCAAAGGCTGGGAAAGGTAGTTGGGGAGGTGGAAAGGGGAGATGGTTAATGGGTACAAAAATAGAGTTAGAAAGAATGAATAAGATCTAGTACTTGATAGCACAGTAGACTGACTACAGTCAACAGTAATTTATTGTACATTTAAAAATAAAAGAGTAAAATTGGATTGTAACACAAAAAATAGGATAAATGCCTGAGCTGGGCTAGGCATGGTAGCTCATGCCTGTAATCCCAGCACTTTGGGAGGCCGAGATGTGTGGATCACTTGAGGCCAGGAGTTTGAGACCAACCTGGCCAACATGATGAAACCCCGTCTCTACTAAAAATACAAAAATTAGCTGGGTGTGGTGGCAGATGCCTGTAATCCCAGCTACTTCAGAGCCTGAGGCAGAGAATTTGCTTAAATCTGGGAGGCAGAGATTACAGTGAGCCGAGATAGTGCCACTGCACTCCAGCTGGATGACAGAGTGAGACTCCATCTCAAACAAAAACAAAAACTTGAAAATAGAGCTACCATATGATCTAGCAATCCTCACTCCTAGGTGTATACCAAAAAGAAAGGAAATCAGTATATGGAAGAGATATCTGCACTCCCATGTTTATTACAGCACTATTCACAATAGACAAGATCTGGAAGCAGCCTAA